GAAACAACACATCTGTTCAGATGAAACAACACATCCGTTCGGATGAAACAACACATCCTTTAGGATGAAAAGATACATCTGTTTGTCGACGAAAAGACACACCCTTTCATTACCAAACTTCTTATTCATAACCAATAGAGTGTCTACATAATTTATATATATATATATATAAATTCCAACAATCCCCCACATGGATAAGAAGTCAAATCATCGTGACAAAAATGCATAAGAATATAAATGCAAAGTGTAATTTCCTCAACGAGAAACAACTGCATCGAGATAGGTGGAGTTACCTTTGAACCTTCTCTAGTGGAAACCTATCGGATATACTCGGTCAATCGGTGGTCTAGGTCGACTTGAACCGTCAACCTTTAGTGTATACCTAGACAATAGGAGTCACACAATTGCTTCTCTAGCATTGTTGGTCCTTTGTTGCACCCATTTTGGCCGTGGGACACCTGTCTGGTTCTGCGAGTGTTTTAGAGAATCGGCCTTTGAAAATTTCTCATAGAAGCGGCCCTCACTTCACACTCACATAGGTGATTTCTTGTGATGTAACTCACTTATACATCATCTGAACACAACAGATTAAGAAATCATTAAAAGCCTAAGTGCTTACCCTCATAAATACACTGTCTTGTCTTAGGAATGAGTATGAGTTTAAAAACTCCACAGTGTTTAAACAGTCGACCATCACTTAGTTGTCTCTTTGAACCTAGTTCATGGGATCTCCACTCTTCTAGGTAGAGTTACCGCAATGCTCAACAATTGATAGGCCTTAAACCCATTCCTTTCGACAAATTTTCAACCAACTCTCTAGGAATCCCTTTGGTTAACGGATCCGCTATGTTTTCCTTAGACTTAACATAGTCAATTGAAATGATTCCATTCGAGAGTAGTTGTCTTACGGTATCATGTCTACGACGTATGTGTCTAGACTTACCGTTATACATGACGTTCTTGGCCCTTCCAATAGCTGCTTGGCTATCACAATGTATGCATACGGCTGGGACCGGTCTTGGCCAATTAGGAACATCCTCAATAAAATTACGAAGCCATTCGGCTTCTTCACCGGCTTTATCTAAAGCAATAAATTCTGCTTCCATGGTTAACCTTGCAATGCAGGTCTGCTTGGACGATTTCCAAGACACAACACCTTCGCCAAGGGTGAACACATATCCACTTGTGGATCTAGTGTCGTTAGAGCCGGTGATCCAATTTGCATCACAATACCCTTCTATAACTGCGGGGTATTTCTCGTAATGCAAAGCAAAATTTTGAGTATACTTCAGGTATCCCAAAACTCTTACCATAGCTTTCCAATGATTTTCATTTGGATTACTAGTAAAGCGACTTAACAGACTTACTGCATAAGCAATATCAGATCTGGTGCAGTTCATAACATACATCAGGCTTCCCAGCACTTGAGCATATAGCTTTTGTATTGTAGCTTTACCAGTGTTCTTTAGTAAACTAAGATTACAATCGACAGGGTTCCTCACAGGAATTATATTCAAACTTTTGAATTTCTCAAGAACCTTAGCTATATAGTGAGCCTGTGATAAGGCCAACCCTGCAGATGTTCTATGGATTTTAATACCTAGGATAACGTCTGCTATCCCCATATCTTTCATATCAAACTTACTATTAAGTAATTGTTTAGTAGCTTTAATCATTTGATTATTACTACCCATGATCAACATGTCGTCTACATAAAGACAGACAATGGCAAATCCTTTTTCAGTATTTTGAACATAGACACATTTGTCACACTCATTGATTCGAAATCCATTTGATAACATAACATTGTCAAATTTCTCATGCCATTGCTTTGGAGCTTGCTTTAACCCGTAAAGGGATTTTATTAAGCGACAAACTTTTCGTTCTTGTCCTGGAACAACAAAACCTTCAGGTTGTTCTAAGTATATCTCTTCTTCCAGGTCGCCATTTAAGAAGGCGGTCTTAACATCCATTTGATGTATTTGTAATCCATTCAATGCAGCTACCGCGATCAACATCCTAATGGATGTGATCTTTGTAACCGGTGAATAAGTATCGAAATAATCGAGACCTTCACGTTGCCTGTAGCCTTTTACCACAAGCCTTGCTTTATATTTATCAATAGTGCCATTCTCTTTCATTTTTCTTTTGAACACCCACTTACTTCCTAAAGGCTTATTGCCAGGAGGAAGATTTACCAATTCCCAAGTGTGGTTGGACAAGATAGACTCTATCTCACTATTGATAGCTTCTTCCCAGAATAGTCCTTCCAGAGACGTTATAGCTTCCTTATACGTTCGAGGCTCATTTTCTAATAAATATGTCATAAAATCAGGTCCAAAGGATGTGGCGGTCCTTTGCCTCTTGCTACGTCTAGGTTCATCTTCTACATCCTCTACATGATCAGTATCAGTTGTAGCATCCCGAGGTATCACAACCTGATCATCTCCACCACTCGGTGTACCTGAAAAATGCATAATGTCATGCTATTGATTCTCAAGTTGGCCTCTTGCCAAGAGAAACATCATCTCCACCACTCGGTGTACCTGAAAAATAATTCCCATACGGAGTAAGATACAATCTCACTAAACTCAAGGTCCTTGGAGACTCCTCCAACCTTAAGCTCACTTTCATGATATGCAGGCATCAAAATGGCATATAGCAACAAGCTCACAATAAACTGCATATATCCATGCCAGGTGTATTAACACCAACCAAATATCCCATCAGCCATCCTCAGAATGCTGGTATGATTCACAATGCAAGCCATCCTTCTGGACTATCAGCTATCCTCGAAATGCTTGTGTGAACCTAATTCTACTGGCCAGAGAATCGATTCAATCATGCAACCACACATGATATATTCATAATCTTAAGCTCAAGCATTCACACCCAATTTCAATACCAATACACACTTATGTTATACAAATTATTACTCCTCATGGAGTATGGTGGAACATCAAGAGGAAAATTTTCTAAGGGTCCAAGAGTTTACCTTAACAAGGCTTCTCCAACTTTCTTGTTCCTTCAACTATATGTTCAATGAACCACAATCACTAACACCACTTATACCAAAGGTGTATCTCCAATTAACAACAAAATGACAATAAATACAGAATCAATCAAATTATATATATAATATCTCAAATCCATGATTTAGGAACTTACCCTTATGTCCTTCAAACTCAAAAACATAACCATTGTTCTCAAGGCTTTCCACTGCAATATCTCCACTACCAACAACACTTCTACACATAATAACAAAGGTTTAATTGTCAATCACACCATATCTATATAGGATTTTTGCAACCCCCAAAACATAGTTCGAACCTAACCCCCAATTCATGATGTCCCTTCAAAATTCATGACATCAACAAACAATGAACCATGGTTTTCCGAGAGGCCTTACTCTAGGGGATTCCCAACCTTCCAAGAACTCAAAAACTCCCTTCAATTGCTACCCCTCCATGACCCACGAAAATGGTTAAGGGTTTGGTGATTTCTTTTCTTTTTCAACAATGGTTCATGGTGATTATGAGAGTAATGGATGAAGGTGAAACATCAAGTCGAAAATCAAGAAGAAGTGCAAGCTTTCCCTCCTCTTCAATGGTGACAACCAGTTGGTAGGAAGAGAAGAGAAAGATATGGTTAAATTAAAGAGGGAAAATGATGGGAAAGATGAAAGAAAAGTAAGGTGGAGAGAGGAGAAAGAATATTAGAAATATCTAGAGCAGCTTTTTACTCTTTTTCCTCTTGGTTCTCCTCCATATTACCTCATTCAATCCTAACTATATAGTTGAGGTTTTTTTTTAGTTGGTCCACTGTGATAGGTATCACTTATTCAATTTATTTGGCTTACTCATTTTGTACAAATTGCACATTTAACCTAACATTCTCATTAATTATATTTTTAACCCGAAAAGTGATTTAATTCATAATTAGGCTTTTTGCGTAATTTAACCCTCTAATTATACATCAATTCTCTAATTAATACAAATTAATTATTAGGGTTATTACAGTAAAAAAACAAATTCTGAAATCTCCAAATAAGGAAGCTCTCTTTATTTGGAGAAATTCCCCTTATGCCACACATTTCTCCTTTCCCTTTTTTGCACAATGATTTTGCTTCCTTTTCCAACTTCCATCTAAGGTTGCTCAATTTGTCCATATGTCCTTTCTTTTTCTCTCTCCTCTAATTGATAAGCTAGTTGGAGAAGATTCTTCACTTTCTTTTGATTCTCCATCATTCTTTCGATTTTCTTTCATTGGGCTTTTAGATTTCCTCTTTTTACAATTTTTTTGCACAATAGGAAAAGAGAAAATGAATAAGTTATTGGGCCAATATAAAGTGCAAGTCTTTTTTTCTCACTTTTGATCCATTAACTATGGGCTTTGTACTATAAATGCAACAGTTCTCTCTTTTATTCTCAATCGGCCTAATTCCCCAACAATTTATAATTTTCAACCCTTTAATATCACAAAATGGTGGGGTAAGGTACCCATTTTGCTAAGAAACACCCAAGATTGGGCTATGAAATTTATCCCATCAACAAGCTTATAAACATACACAACTCAAGTTAAGTTTACTCAATAAAAATAGTACTAAAAAACAATTACACACAACCCATCTAAAATAAGTTCGTAAATATTTCTTTGTTTTAAGATGAAGATGAAACTGAAAGGATAAGGAAAAGGTCAATTATAGTTAAAACTCAAATATGGTCGAGCATGTGGTTTTCCAAAAATAAATTCATTGGGTCAATTAGAACCCAACTAATTGCAACTTTATGATAATAAAAATAAGGGCTTTGTTTTTCTCCTTTAACATGAGAGGAGGAATTTTCTTACAGGCACATGTTTGAGGTGGATCCCACTGTTAAGAAATTTAAAAAAAAAATTAAAACACGTAAACCGATGTAGGTGGAAATACTTTCTCCAACAACATAAGAAAGTATTTTTCCTATAACCAAAACTCAAAAAAGCCCAACTTATCACCATCCATGGCTACCTCATCTTCCTTCACCAACCTTTTCTCTTTTTTCTTACCACCAAAGCCACAACCCCCCATATTACTCTCTCTCCTTACTTCACTTGTTTTCCATCTCATAAACAGAAATTCAGTGACAACTTGGTGCCATTGGTTGCCCAACATGATGATCACTCTTCAATTTCTGCTACTATTATTGCTTCATTAGACTTGTCCTATGTGACATGCCCCTCGCTTGCACATGCAAATACCCTCTTTTTTCGATCAGCTTACATTGTGCAGGTGATTGTGGATGGCAACGAGCTAGAGGAGAGGTTTCTCAACGGGTTCCGAAGAGACGTCATGAAAGCTAGTGTCATACAAGAGTGCAAAAGGATAAAGTTCTTTGAGAACAAACAGGATGAGAAGAAGCACAAGTCCCATGAGGCTCCTAAGCGTAAAAGCAGAAGCAGGTACCTTATTAGCATCCCCTTCATGCTCATTGTTGTGAAAACGGCAAGTATACCGGTTTTTCCACGTAATAAAGTGATGAGTGAGTATCATTCACACAAGGACTAAAGTCAAGCAATAATTCACCGCTTTTATCTAAGTTAGACAATTCAAAAGTGATTTCAACCGGTAACCAATATTTAATTGAAAAGTAATTAAAGATGCAGACTAAAGAAATTGATTTAAAAGATGAACTTGAAATTACGAATAAAAACGCAGTTAGGTTTACTTCACCTCCGGTTTCCCTTAATTGGTTTAACCCAATTCAATATCTTTCTATCCCAATTGTTTCAAACAATTCACCATCTATGAATTAATTGGTTAAATCCTAATGTCTTTGTTCTTTAACTATTTAACCCAATCGGAATCATAATATCTTAGAAACCCTTTTTAGATTAAGCCTTAAGCGCGATGAATTACACAAATTTGCAATTCCTACAAGCCTATATCTGGAACATGTAGGAATTGGTGTTCTAGCCCCGTCTAGATTAAAATCTCAATATGTCTATTGCGAATCCTAATCCTTTTTTTCCTATATGATTGATAAGGTCATACAAGAATTTAAAAATATAAATCAAGATAAACACAAACAATTTGAAACAAATTATTATTGAAAAGAAATTAAACAAAAACAAGGATTCATGTCGAATCCATGTCCCTAACTATAAAGAAAATTAGCCAGACATATCTGGCTTAAAAAAACAAGAAAGTAAAATAGAAGACGTGAATAAGGAAAGTATGATGGTTAATCGCCACTACAAAGCTTTGATCTTCCTTCAATCTTCATCTTGAGCTCTGAAAAACAGGATTCTTCCTCTGGTCTCTAAGTTCCTTTTCTTCAGAATGTGCAAGAATCAATTTTGCTTCCAAATTTTCATCTTTATATTGAGGAAAAAATTTCCTTAGAACCTCCTAATCAAATCTTCAATCAAATCTTTAAAAATTTTCCTTTTATATTTAAAGAAAAACTTTCCTTAAAAATATTCAATAGAGTATTCAATAAGATCTTCAATCAATTATATGATTCAAAAATCCAAAACATATCCACTTGAGCCTTACAACTTGAACTCTCCAATTTATCTTTTTATTAAACTAAAAATTCCTGCAAAACATGAGAATATTATTGATAGTAAAATAATACTTTAGTTACACTTCTCACATCTTTTGGTTATTTTTAAATTAGTTTCATGCTCATTTTAACTTTTAATACATAATAAATTGGAGGCTGATTATTAATCCCTTCTCTTTTGGTTACCTGACACTACTTAAATAGCCTTTAGTTCAGTAAGATAAGTGGTTTCTGTGAAACATGACCAATAATTCTTATGTTTCTCTTGTTTTGAGTTGTGAGAGTAACTTTAATACTTTTAAGGTTTTTATTTTTATAAGGTTATTGCACATAAGATAGTAGTCATGACTGTAATTGAATCTTGGATATAATGGGATGATACTATGAAAGTGTCCCCCACCATATGTTACAACTTTAAATTCGTGACCATGTTTTTAGATGCTCTTTTTGAAATTAAGTAATTAATTTTATTTTTTATCAAATCTATGCTATTATATTATCTAAAAGCATGATGCGAATTTATTTAGTTTCAAAGTTATATTGTCTTATGTGTTCTGCGATTAGATAGTTCCCTTGACAAAGATTATTTGACACTTATCTGGCTTAAATTATCTTCAGGCGCCCTCAATTGAGATCTCCAATGCAGAACAAGCAAGATTTTCCAACAACCAAGAAGGAAGAGGATGTTGATCACTGGGATATGCCTAAAGGAGACAGTTTAAACATTTGACTAAAATGATGCCCTACATTCTGTGTTAAGAACCTTGGGATACATCACCCCAAAAGCTAGCTCAAGGGGTGGGAGTGTCCAAGGCCTTATAAAGGCCATATTAGTTTCTCATCCAATCAATGTGGGACTATATATCTCAACACACCCCCTCACGCAAGAGCCCTTTAGGCTTAGAAGCGTGAAAATTGCACAGGCCCATTTTTTGTTTACCTTCTTGTGCTTTTTTTATTTTAATTCCACTTTTTAAAGCGGGAGACGGTGAGGCTCTGATACCATGTTAAGAACCTTGTGATACACCACCCCAAAAGCTAGCTCAAGGGGTGGGAGTGTCCAAGGCCATATTAGTTGCCCATCCAATCAATGTGGGACTATATATCTCAACATTTTGTACGATTCTTCACATTTTGCTGTGAGAGATTTTTTCTGCTTGTAGGTTTGGTTAATTAAAATTGGTTTTTGGGACACAATAAGTGTATTGTTCAATTTACATTTCATTTGATATTATGGAATTTGTTCATTTGTGCATCAAAATTTTGTTCCGCCCTTGATTTGCTAAAATCTTTGCGGCTATCCCTTTTTTTATTGCTTTTCTCTCTTCTTGCCTCAATTTAGAAACCCTTTATGATGTTGAATTTACCAGTCATGTAAAAGTTTCTTGTCAGATAAGAAAAATAAGTAAGAGTTGCTTAGGAGGATAATTTGTGTTAGGAGAAAATGTCTCTTCATATGACAATGAATTATTCTTGTTATTAAATTCACTAGTGAAGCATCTTCAAAAGGAGAGAGGGTAGCCTGTTCATTTCAGATGCAATCTCAAAGGTGATGGAAATTAGAAAAGCCAATTGTTTTGAATTTTGCTTTTGTTTGGACTTTGGAGTATATCCGTACCTGTAATTGTGAATGCTGTTTTTTTCTTTAGTGATTAACTTCTCAGCCTTTTTTCAGTTTTTTTTTTTATGTCTATGGTTTCTCTCCATGCTTGGCTTTTTTATCAATATGAGCTGGAGATATACTGAAGTTATTCAGAACAGGGTTAATTAACTGAGCATACTATCATTCAACACTAATTATTGGGAACTTAGGTTTCTTCTCCTATGGAGTTACTGAAATCCTTGACCTCATTGGAACTAGACTGAATGATATAAGGGTTAGACACAGGGTATTCAAGCTAGGACAAAGTGAGTTATTATCAGCATCTAGGTTGTTTGTCAGTGACCAAATAGCTTAGTCATGATTCATGAAGAACCAAGGCAGGTGGTGTGAAAATATGTTTGGGTTTCAGAGGAAACAATATGCTTTTTAATTGGAAAGGAAGCAAATTGTTCTGTTAATAGCTTGAGCCTATAGGTTAGTTTTAACTGCTTTGTAGCTGTGCTTAAGGGAAGAAAATTTGGAAGAAGTAGGATCATCAGGTAGTTCTGAATCAGCCTCAAGTTCAGACTTATGGAGAGTACATTGATAAGGTGGGAGATTTCATCAGTTCTATCACCAAATGCTAAGAAAAATGGTCTAAACCAAACAAAATTGATAAATGGTTTTTTTATGCTTTTTAAAATATTAATTCTTTCTAGACACTTGAGAACTATATGTGGTTCTAAGTATATTTTCATCTCAAGCACTTCTGTGGCCACCTCAAAGCCATTTTGTCCGAAGCATAGTCCCCTGATACACGGTTTCTAAAGCGGATCCAATCATCAAGAACAATCCTCATGTCATGAACTTTGCTTCTGAGATCATTGCAACAGTTGGTATGGATGGTATAAGCCTCCCTCAACATATCCTTATTTAGCTGACAAAATCCACCAAAATAAGTTGAATTTACAAGCTTAACACGGAAGCCAAGAGCTTCAACATCTTCACTTTGCATTATAGTTGTACATAAGGAATCTTCATCAAGAGAGTTTGGATACAGAATATTGGTTAATTTCCAGTACTTGAAGAATTCAAACGATATGATATTTGCCTTCAAGTAGAAGATTCCCCCATCATGCATGTAACCTCCACTTTGTCCATCACTTGAGAAATTACATGAAATTGTGAGTTCATACACTGGATTGAAGTGTAAAAATGGACTTCTAAGCCACAATACATCCGCATCCTACAAAACAAAAAGTCACATGCAATTCAAAGTTGATTAATATTAATAACCATTCATTCATCCATCATTTTTTAATGCAAGCTAATCAGAACCCTTACCGTGAAAACTATGTTATAACCCAATTCAACCACTTCTAACAAAACATTGTTTCTTCTCCAACTATATGCATTATGATCTGGGGTTGTGTTGGATTGTCTTTTGGTGGTAAAATAATGTGCAAAGGTTGAGGGGTGGATGCAAAGGGGATGCAAGGCCCTGCAATACTCAAAAGCTTGGGGGTCCATGGTTATGATCACCAAGTGATTCAACAATCTTTGGGTACCTTCACCAGATTTGAAACTTTGTAGTAAGACTTCAAGGATAGATCCTGGACTTGCCCTTGATTCATCTACCATGGTTAGGATAACTTTTCTGTCTGACATGGTTGCTCTCCTCAGCACTTGAATCAATTCTTGTTTTCGTGAGTGATACTGATAAGAAAGTATATGACAAATTAACTTAGGAGAACCTCAAAAATCATTATGACAATTTAGTTAATAGGAAAAATGTTTCTCCACACAGATAAGTAATCTGTATTTATTTTCTTAAAATAACGTCGTTTTAGTATTGAAATTTTAAAAAATTTAAATATAAAGACTATTATAATCCTGAAATAAATTAAAATTATAAAAACATCATGATTTTCATCCCAAACAACGTCGCATTGAACATACTGCAGATTACTTATCTGCGATAACTACTGCAAAAAAACGAACCCTTATTAATATATACTCTTATTTGATATGCCAGGGATCAGTTTTCAAAAGCTTTGTTACAAGTTCATTTAATCATGTGTTCTTGCACTATTTTAAAAGTTTAACTACAATATCAAACTCTTTGGATAATGTAGCCAACACAAAATTAAATGATAACGTGAAAAAAAAAATTAACACACATTGTGATTAATATTAAGCTACGTGTAACAAAAAGAGGCAACAAATTAAAAGGATTTTCGAGGGTCTTATTTGAATTTCTACCGACCAAGTGACCAGTAAGTCCAACAAATCAAATCACAGTAGCGTCATAGAATATGAATCACTGACAACAACCGATAGCGTTATCATTTTTGTTGTTATTGTGCCAGTTAATAACAGTATCATTTTCATATACAAATATGAGGAATAATATTTCTCACGTTGTAGTGAATAAATTTTATATTTTTTATATATATATATATATATATATATATATATATAAATATGTAAGATTTATAATTTTTTATCTTTTTCTTATATAGCTTCACATAATTTTATATATATAAAAAATAAAATTATCTTTTATAATATGAGAAATATCACTTCCATAAAAATAATAACATAACAAATAAATCGGATTCATATATATAAGTAAAAAACTATTGGACATATTTATTTACTCAAATGTGCTGTTGAACGGTCCAAATCGCCCCAATACACTTATAACAAAGACAAAATTTGATGTGCACGTGCTTTGTTGTTTATCATCATCCACTTCTGTCACTAATTCCATATGATTCGTAGAGTCCAATAAACCATGTAAGATAATTTTCTATTATGAACATGTTGGAGTAATTTAATGTTTGGATTAACTTTAACTTGTGGATAATGTTATTTAACACAAGCAGTTAAAATAGAGCTAAAAAAATCAAAATTTTAAAACATTAATAATTATATCAATCACCAAGTAAGTGTAAATTCATTAAGAGCCTTTTCTTCCGTGTTATATAATTGTGATTAATTAAATAATTATTCATTTTCTTAGATATCAACGATGTAATTAATTTTATTTTGATTGCATCAGTCAAGAGATCGATAAGTATATCAATTGAAATGATACACAAGATTTACATAAAATACTCAATTGAGAAAAACAACGAATAAAATCAAGGAAGATTTTTATTATATGAAAGTAATTATAATCTCTCTCCTAACATATTAATTTCTCTTATATTAAAAAATACACATTATTGGAAATAACGCTCGAGATATCTGGTTTTTTCTCACTAAATTGGGATATAAAGAAAAACTCTTGAACTTGAGATTTTGAAATTTGGGGATGCTTAAAACAACAAGACATGAGTTCTAATTTATAGGCTGAAGGATTTGTTATTCATACTGTAGCTTTACGCGTTTCAGCGTTGCTACACCGTTTGTGCAAACCGTTCGTGCAAATTGATTGCAATCAATTTGCAATTTCGACCACTGCTGCTTTCGGAACAAATCCAAAGCACCCGAAGTGTCTTTTATGTCACTGTTTCTGTCAGATAAAAATAACTTTTTTGTACCCAAAATAAATAAATAAATAAATAAATAACTTTTTCAAGAAAAGAATCTATCCCAGTAAAATTTTGTAGAGATGAGAATTTACGTAAACTACAAAGTTTTTAGTATAGTTGGGTGTGGACAACTTGAACTCAAGATTTGTAATCAAGTTGGAATAACCCTGTATGTATCAGATCATCTACGTGATTGGTGGTGAATTAATAATAGATATAACAGTTCATCTCCTTGCACTAATGTAAATTCATCACTATATATAAATAAATGATTTAAAAATGTTTACAATGAAAGATGGTAAACTTATATAAAGATGAAAATAATTCCGCCACTGTTTCACCTTAAAATTTCATTCCATTTATCAATATTTTTATCCTAATCAAATACAGCTTTGAAGATTCAGACGATAATTATTAATGATAAATAAACGGGTGGTTATATATATGTAGTGATGCTAATTAACAGAATTTAAATGAAAAAGAATCTACAGAGTAATGCTTACAATTGATCTTGGCTTGAGCAGAACCATGTTGTTGTCAGCCCTTTCAACCGGTGGAGGGTAGTGATATAGAAGGAAGCATAACAGCACGATCAAGAAAGCTGTGCCTGTGAGAGTAAGATACAGAGACTTTCTCAATCCCAAAGCTCTCATCCCTCCCAATGCAAATAATTGTGAAGGGCCTCACTTGTTCTCAATTTGTTGGAAAGTTAGGTCTTTTTTTTTTTAAATAAACAAAAGTACAATTTAAAAAGAAGCTTGAGAGAAAACTCATCAGATTGATTTCAGAAAAGCAGAAATATACAAATTATATATATTCAAATTTTTTTATTTTTTTTTTGGGTACAATGCTAAACTTTTTTAAATGGTACAAATTTGTGTCATTTTAATTTTTAACATTTTATATTATGAATAACATATAGTTATAGAAAAAAATTACTCTTATGTTACATATGGTAATTTTCTCTCCTACACATCATTCGATAACTGTGTCACTTTTTTTTTATTTTTTTATATTTTTCAGGTGGTGGAGCTCACAAATTTATCTCTATGACATGAGATAACTTATCTCGTTTAACATGAGATTAATAAAATCCATGGTCATAATATGAAAAAAAAAATCTTTTTTCTCAATTATTTCAGTTAATGTGAAGAGAAAAAGAATTATATTATAATTATATACTACTTATAATATATGTTAAAAATTAAAATGAGATGACATCAATCTAAAAGGACAAATGTTAAACCTATATTCAAATGCATTGAATTAAAAAGCAGATTTAATGAATTCGATGGGGAGAAAAAAAAAGTTTAATGCTTATACTACACCAAAAAAGATTTAGTTACTTATATACCATCCAATTAAACACACTGTCCATAGCAGCTTTGCAAACGAAATCTGATATGCTTTTCAAAATTGGCTTTTATTATGGTAACTTTGATGATTAGCTGACCCCTTGCGGATGGAAATGATGTGATATCCCCCACCCCTTTTTTTACTTTGTTTTTTTTAATAAAATATGATTTTCAATTTGGATCTATACCATTCAACGGGAGATCCATTATATCCTTTTGGACCATTTTACTTTCAGGGGTATTTTGTAGAATTTTTGGAAAATTGAATTTTTTTAAATTTTTAATTTTTAGATATTATCATAAATTAAATATTTTCATCATATTTCTGAAAAATTGAGATGTCCGGATAAAAAAAATTTCTTCTCTACTAAACGCCTCCTTACATTTCGTATATAATCTCGGGCGCGGAAGAAATCGCGTTGGTGTTATAATGGAGGTTTAATATAAGGGTTTAAAGTTTTTAAAATTAATTTAAACAATTT